AGAAGTAATAGTAATAATTTCCTAGTAACTTTTGTTGTTTGTAGAAAAGATTCTACAATTGAAATATTCAGAACTTAATTAGTTTTAATGATTTACTTTAACTAAATGTACTNTTAATTTTAATAATTTACTTTAATTAAATGAACCAATCAAACCAAAGTAGTTAAAAAGATTTACTCAATTGAGCATATTATAAAATTTTTATTATATTTGAAAATATCAATTGTTAATTCAGGAGAAAAAACATCATTTTTTTTAGAAATTATTTATATAGCAACATGTTACAAAAAAATTTGTAATATTATAGTCTGGTAGTAGCACACACAAATAGAGTAAAAAAATTATTAAATTACATAGTAAAATGATAAAATTTTATAGTTGAAACCTTTCATATCAAACTTAATTCGTCAATAAATACTTTGAAAACATTAGAAATTAATGATTTTAATTGTCTTTATGGAGAACATGGAATAACTAACTGTTTAATTGATAAATTGAAATTTTTTTTCAATTTTTGAGGGAAATATCTTCAACTAGATACGAATTGTAGTCATTTGACGTATCGTTGAAAAAAGTAGGTCAAGTTAGAGCAGAGAAAATAAATGATAGTCACAAAAAAATATCTTCTCGGCTTTGCANAAAAAAAACACATCATAGTAAAATTAATACCTTCTCAGCTTCGCATCGAAGCTAAAAAAAACACATCATAGTAAAACCAATACCTTCTCAGCTTCGCATCGAAGCTAAAAAAAACACATCATAGTAAAATTAATACCTTCTCAGCTTCGCATCGAAGCTAAAAATATATTAAAAATTTAATTATTAAAATCAAGGAAATTCAAAAAGAGAATATAGTAAAATGTATTGAGTATAAGGTTAACATTTGTTAATGAGGTATTCCTCTTGGGCGTATTCAGAATTATTTTAGGAGGGTATTTAATTTTTTTTACTCTGTTTAAACATGCTATAGAATTTTTTTTACTAAAAATCAAAGTGGTTATAAAAAAACCCAGCACAGGGGGGTCGCGGCACAGTGGTGACGTGGCATAGTTGGATCAAGTAAATGATATCTGACAGTGATTAAAATCACTATCAAAAATAAACGCTTCGATGCAAATCTTTAGATAGTGTTTAATTTTAAAAAAATTGGTGTTTTATTCCAAAAGCTACTTGATCTGCTGGTTCCTTATTAATATCTCGAT